AAAAATGCACAGCCTGAGTTTTAAACACCATCTGCCAAAGGTGTTCGATATAACTGTAGCTAATCACATTTACACTGAGGTTGTTTCCATACATGCCACCGCACAAGCCTTAATTCCTCTGATTTTGAATCATCACAAACACTAAAAGCTGCTGTGCTCCGTTTGAAGAGCTTGACCTATTCTAAGAATGTACGTCAGGCTACAGATGTGAAACCGTAGCAATTTATCAGAGAGCTCTGGCTGCATTCATGAAATGTTCTGCATTACAAATACGTGACACTAAATTCCACAGAGGATGCATTATCTCTCAGCTGACCCACTTCCATTTTAAAACACGGAGAAGAACAAAGGAGACCAGGATCCAGAAGATAAAGATAGACTGTTGAGTGGCCGAGTGAATAAAAGGTCATCAACTCTCTCACCTATCAGTCCCCAGTGGGCCTCGCCAGTGCAGCCTTTAACAGCTGTGTGTGTGTGTGTGTGTGTGTGTGTGTGTGTGTGTGTGTGTGTGTGTGTGTGTGTGTGTGTGTGTGTGTGTGTGTGTGTGTGTGTGTGTGTGTAAAAGTGTGTGTGTGTGTGTATAAAAGTGTGTGTGTGTGTGTATAAAAGTGTGTGTGCAGGAAAATTAGAGGTGAGAGGAGGTTAGCAGTTTCCAACATCTTTATATTCTGAGAGACAGTGATGCCTCGTGTTGTCCAGGTCCGCCTGGACGACGCACCGCTGAGGCCCACAAATAAACACACCACAAGAGCTCTGACAACAATGGCTGAAAGATGAGACAGCAGAGTAGGGGGAACAATAAACTCCAGGAGAAACTCCGTCTGAATTTGGGTTAACAAAACAATCCTCGACCTTCTTTTGGTAAAAGCTTGATAGCAAGTCTCTGATGAGAAAAGAAAATAATGTTTCCCATTTAGCAAGAAGAATCAATAACAACAAACTGTGAGGTGTGTGCAAACATTTAGCAGCATGTCACTGTCAGAAACACTAAGTGATAAAATGATGGCAATAAAAAGTCAAACACTAATCCAAAAAGGGAAGCAGTATCTCCTCTGTAAGCACACACACTAGTAGAAGTACACATTTAAATGAAAACACAGTAAAAGCAACTTCTAATCAAACACTAACCTGAAAACCTGAATGCTGTCAGCAGAATTCTAGTCTGCAAAAGTTTCAGCTCAAATTTGATGTTTAACAGGCACCATGGATACAGCAGCTCACGCTGAACCATTCAGAGACCTCCTCCTCTAGGGAACATGACCAAACAGAACAGGGAACCAAGCCCCACTTCCTTCTGTTCCATGTGATTTCACACACACACACACACAAACACACACACACACACACACACACACACACACACTTGCAAAGCACTTACCGTGTGCGAGGTGTGTGTGCAGAAGTGTGAGAATGACTTGTCCCCTGCTGAAGAGAAGCGAACCAGTGAGAGGCCGATCTCTGCTGCAGCAGATCCCAGCCTGCCCCTCCCACTCATGTCTGCCATGTGACTCAGCATGTAACGCAACAAGATTACGCCCACTTCCTACAAATTATGCCCCTCTCAAAAAAAAAAAAAAAAAAAAAAAAAAGAAAAAAAAGAGGAAGCACCACAGCGGACAGACAAAGACTTGGGCTGTTTGTCTTCAGAGCTTCTGGATTATTCTTGCCACCTTAAACTCCCAGGCTGGTCTGGCACGACTGACCCGACCCCCCCCCCCCCCCCCCCCCCCCCTGTGGTCCTCACATCCCACTCAGTTCCCTCACAGATCTGACGTCACCCGGTCACACTACCACTAGGCGACTTCCTCTGACCAACGTCACCTCTGTAAATGTTTCAGAGCTTCAAATCAGGACTGCACTGATTTCAAATGTAAGATTTTATTTTATCAAATTTAACAATAAGTAAAAAATGGTTTCTCAGTGAACCTGGTCTGTTATAATAGTCCTGTGGTCGATAAAAATGTTTTATGAAGTTATTTGCTCTAAATCCCTCTCACATAAAGCAATTTCAGCCGTTTTCATCATTAGACATTTTTAGTACCTTCCAGAATGAGTCGTTTCAGGGCTCTGTCACTAAGAAAACAAACTAGAGCTTGCCACACCCACCCCACCCCACTCAGGCTGCCATAAGCTGAGAAGCTCTGATATCCAGGAGGGGCTCAGAGTAGAGCCACTGCTTCTCCAGCAGCAGCTCTGTTTTATCTGTGAGAGGTGGTTTAATGATGTTTCTCCCATTTGTGACATCACAATCAGGGACTTTATTTCAATCTACTTGTTTTAGGCACATCGTTTCTAAAACCAAACTGGGTGGATGGATCATTTTCACGTTTGGAGTGGCAGTAGCTTTAACTACTGACACAAATGAACTTTTGAATCATATTCTGATTTCTGGAGTTTCAACTGTAGTTTTGCATTAGCCATGAGGCAGCAGGTCATGCAGAAGTTCTGCTGGTTACAACTTCCCTCATCTCACCAGCTTACCTTCTTCTAGATGTGCAGATCTTTAAAAAGCTCTCCCTCAATACTTTTAATAGATATAAATTACAGTCACAGCAGAGATGTAGGGTTCAGGTGCTTTCTAAATGACTTGGACATGTCTTTAAAACCACAAGAAGACGACGCGCTAAAAGCCTTTCTTCTAAAGAAAGATGAACTTTGACTACAACTAAAAGAACTACAGAGTCGCGCGATAGTCATCACTTCAGCCTGTTTTCTGATTGGTTATTTTTGAGCACCCCATGGTGCCTCTGAGTATCCGGACTCGTCCTCTGAGTAGACTAGACTGAAATAAAGTCTGGCAGGCAAGGATAGCTTTCTCTTTTCATGTCAGTCAGGTAATCATAGTCCGACTGCAGCTCTCTATGGTTTTAACAGAAAATGCATTTTTTTGATAGGGTATTTCACCATAGCAGCCATTAAACCAATAACACTTTCCTCTCCAACTACACCTTGATAACACACACAGAAAGCTAGTACGTTCTTGGAATAAATGACAAAAATAACTGTTCAAAGATAAAAATAAGTTAATTAGTTCCAAAAGAGAAAAACCACAAAACTCTGAAACGCAGCACATGCTTGCTTTTACAGAACCAGCAGTATTTTTCTGTTTTCTTTAGTTGTTAAACGTGTTTTGGGTAAATGCATGTTTGTATAATTAGAGACTAAAGAAACAGCTGTCTCTTCTGCACAGAAAGTGTAATCACACACACACACACACACACACACACACACACACACACACACACACACACACACACACACACACACACACACACACACACACACACACACACACACACACACACACACACACACACACACACACACACACACACGAGCAGCAACTACATACCTAAACACAAACTCGTGTCCCTGAATAATAAAATGAATTGAAGTTAAGGAAGATGGATTGTTGCCCTTTCCTCGGAGCACTCCAATCTCAGAGGTCGATGTTCGACGCACACAGTGAATTTACAAAATTCCAACACAAACAAAGGTGATCGCACAGGCCTGACAGAAACCAGGTCTCACCAAATATGGAGTGAAAATAAGGCCCTGCTGTACTTGTTTTACAATGTGGAAAACCCTCATTTTCCCCAAAGGCTCCCCAGTTTCAAACCAGTCATTCTTTCCCCTCGGCCTTTTCGTCTGTCGGTCTTTGATGCTGAACTCTACCTTGCCAATGATTAAAAAAAAAGGGAAACACAAACCAAAGACACTAAAATACAGTTTCCATTTGGGTTTGAAAAACACTTATTTTCTTGTAGAAAAACAGGAAACTGTGGGTGAAGCCACTAAAGCGGGACTGGATGAATACACAGAAATAACTGCAGATTTATGACATTTCTCCAATGACTCAGCTAAAGGGCTTCAAAAAGTAAGTCACAATCAGGTAGGCTGAGAATAACCCTAATAAGTGCCTTCTGCCTCTCTTATTTAAGCCCCTAATGCACAGATTTAACACATTAAAAGTTACTAATGTGTTCAAATAAACCTCATGAGAAAAAACGTCTTTTCTCCAGAGCTGCCTCGTACAGACAAACCCCTGTGTGACCCTGCATGCATGCACCATGAGTCATCCCTAATATGATCCAACGTTAGTTGGCTTACTCCTGTATTAAGTGCTCTGCTGGAGGACATCGTCTTTACAGATAAAAAGGTCTCCATTGTGAGGAGTCGGGGCTGCAGTGACAGAAAGCTGCTGTCATGGGCTGATGTTGGTGCCAAGATGGTGTCATGTGTCGGCGGGCAGATTTGTCTGCCGGCAGGTCAGTGATGGCGTTCTCTGCAGCTGTTCAATGACTTTCAGAAGACAGAAAGAAGCGATGTCCTACTGTCTCTCTGCAGGAAGGAGGAGTCCATCTAGCCTCTGAACACGTCTGTCCCTAACATCTGTGTGTGAGAGACTTAAAATAGAATCACCGATGTTCTCCTCATGTGAAATAAGTGCGAGCTGATGATGACGTAAATGTGTTTTTTAAGGATTTTCTGCCTTACCCAAACACCCCACTCAGGATTTGCAACTGAAACTTGAGTGCATCTTTACTTCCATGCACGCATTTGTATACGTAACTAAATCTGAGTTTATTTCCCTTTGGGGGAAAGTAAAATGAATTCTCAACAGGTGAAAAATAACACTTCAGAATGAAAAGTGAGCTTAGGATCTAGGGTTTGTGTCTTATGAGGTAACGGAAATGTGTTTCTGTGTTCAGACGAGTCACGGATCCAGCTCTCTGGGAAAAATGGAAGCACTTCCTCATTTCAGAGGATTTAGAGTAAACATGAGACCTCATCGCTGCTGTAAAATCAGGCTCTGCAGCTTCACAATAAAACTTTTTCATGTGCCAGAAAGTTGCTTTAAGCCTTTTCTAAATGCCACAAAGCTTTTCAAAAGCTTCCCACCCTGCAGATATCAGCCCAAATTCCTCTGCAACAGCCCCACCTACTGGCAGAAAGGTGGTGCTGCAACAGAGCAGAGCGACTGATACTAGATGTTAGAAATCATACACAAACGACCATTACTCACTCTACACTCACCGATCGATACACTTCAGCCTGTCATAGTGGCACTAATGCAGCGCTAACCTGACACAAACAAGCTTTTCAGACCAACTGTACTGCAACACTTCCTGAAACTGTAATAAATGAGGCAATAGATCTAGTTTCATTATCCAGGAAACGATAAATGAAACTTCAGACAGACAGCTCTCACGTAAAACACCAGTCTCCTGCATCAGGCAGCAGAACAACAACACAGGTAGGTTCTCCTTTTCTATGATGTCAACTGTAGGAATATTTTTAATAAAGGACTATAGTGGTCTAAATTATTATAAGGTCAGCGTCAGAGTGAATGGAGTTGACTGTATCAGACTGATAGGAGGTAGGTTATGATGCATTTCACTTTATTTTGTGAATAGCTGATGATGGTAAAATAATCACCATGGATTAAAAACAATACTGACTTTGATCTCCCCCAGAAGAAACAAAAAGTAAATGTGTCATATGTTGTTATGGCACCAAGATCGTGCTAACCCTATTGTTAAATGTCTTATTGTTGGTGTTTATGCATCTCTCACATCTAAATCATGTCTTGATTAACAAGAAAAATGTAATTTTGTATGTGGTGTAATCCCAACAAGGACACTGGATTGAACTGAAATAAAAAAGAAAAGAAAATCTAAATCATACTGGAGAAAAAATACCAATTATGTGAAATTTCACTACTGAAAGTTATTTGTATTTTTTTTTTATTCTGAGGACAACCTCAGTTTCCTCTTGTGCATTTCTCAGGGACACAGAGAGAGTGACTCACATGATGAAATAACTAAAGCTGGTTTCAGTATTCCTACTTTTCTAACATCTACATCTTTTCTGACACGTTTTTACAGGAAGATGAAGTTGTCTGGAGCAACGAGTCCCTGCGTGGTTCTGGTCCTCATCTTCACCTCAACATCAGCGATTCAAAAGCTCAGAAATATTAATGACCTAAAGGCACTCAAATTTGACCAAAATGTGCCCTCACACAGTCTGCTGCTGCTCTATTGGTTTGCCAACACCATTGACATTGACAATAACAACGTCATAAGGCTAACCTTTGACCCCAACCAAGGCGATTATGGCTCGCATCACTATGGGAACTACGAACGGCTGCTGGAACCCCTCCCTCTGGGAAACATCAGATACAGATACTACACGGTTGGTAATCTTAACCAAGAGTCATCATCTGAACTTCCATCCTATGTCATCCATCCGCGGTTTGGGTATGAAGGGAGGAACCGAGACCGAATCATTTTTAGAGTCAGAGAGCAGGATGTGGGAAGGCAAACCGGGCAGATCGTAGACAGAGTCTACATGACGCAGCACTTTCAGACCTCTGATAATCAGGGCACAAGATACGATCCAGTAAATACATACCAGGTCACGACCAGGCTTTTGGGGCAGATCAGAGAATTTTCAGTGCAGGAAAATGACTTGATCTTTCTGATGAATGTCAGAGATCGCTTTGGGAGTAATGCTGATAGCACCCAGCTAAGGTACATTAAGACTTATTGGGGGGAGCTTGCTTGTCTTGGGCTATTATTGTTTATGGTGATCCAAGAAAAGCCCTCCACCAACCAGCAACCTTCACAGGAAAAGCCCCCCACCATCCGAAACAACAGGCAACCATCTTCGACGCAAAAGCCCCCCTCCATTCCAAACAACAGGCAGCAGTCTTCAACAAGAAGGAGCACACATTCTGACTGTGTTGTCAACATCCCAGACAGCAGACACAGTGCTTTTACTGGGATGGTTGCCAGTCACCGACTGAATCAGAGAGAAAATGTATCACTTCAGATTACAACAGGCCCAGGGGGGAAAGCCACCATCCACTGGAGCATCATTGGAAATCTTACTGATCAAAGCATGATGATCGCCCTTTATAAGCATAACATGGATGTTAATGCACTAACTTATAAGTCAATTGGAAACAGAAAATCGGGGCGTTACGACACATCAGTACCGCTAAACGAAGGACTTCAGGCTCGGCTGCACATAGGCGAGACACTTTGCTGCTTCTGGAGAAGAATTGGAGAGGAGATCCACAGAGGGGAAGAGTTTGAGAACCCTGCATTAGTCAATATTAGAGGCTACAATGCACACCTACAACTTTTTGCAAAGAATGGTAAGGCGTGTGCTCGATTATACGTGAAGAAGTCTTTCACTGAGTGGAAGTCCATATTCAGAAACTCATGGGTCGGCTTCTACAGCTCTCAGTATAAAGACACAAAGAGCTATGAATGGTGGCAATGGCAATGGGCAACCGAGTTCAAACCCAACTTTTTCTTCGACATATTTTCTGAATACGACGTCTATGAATACCACTCAGGTATGACGATAGCTCCAGGAGTCCAAGCAAGATTCATACTGCAGGACAATGTGGAGAAAGCACGCACCCAAAGCTGGAACAAATAACGACGGCAAGATGTGCCGGAAAGCAGTCTGTATAATCATTCTGATTAAATGTATTTAATACAAATTCTCAGTACAAGGCTGTGAAGACGACAATCAAAACCCTTTATTGTGATCAATATTTTATCCTGAATTCCATAAATGTGTGAAAGCCGCCATTGTATTTGTAATATATGTTTAATATACTTCATTACATTCTTTAGAATCAGAATCAGAATGAATTTTATTGCCAGCGCTCCAGCGATCCAGAGCATAGGAACGTGACTCCACAGTACAGCCTGACCAAGATTACACACACACACATATAGACAGGGCAGATACAGGCAGACCACGAGAGCAGCCATGACGACCCAGTTATAAGTATTAGTAAAAAATGAAAACTGTTTTTGATGCCTACATGTGAACCTCGTCTGTTTATACTGGATCTTTTACTGTCTGCATAAAAAGTTCATAACAACTTCGTATTTATCTAAAAGCCGATAAAGTGACTGAAGCAACACTTAACAAGCTCCAGACTTTCATGTTTCTGGGTGAAAGTGACTGAAGCACCAGCTGCACTGTAGATTTTTTTACCGCTTGCCCGTTATCTGCATTCTCTGTGACGATTAGCTCATTTGTTTACGTTGATTTTGTACATTTGATTCATAATAAAGAGGAAATCCTCTTTTCCATGTGAAAGAGTTTCTTGGTTCATCATCTGGAACACACACACAGACACACACACAGATAGAGGTAGAGAGTGAGAGAGGCAGGGGCGTAGCACCAAATTCTGGGCCCTAGGTACAAGTCTTCTAGGTGGGCCTCCATGCTCAATTACTTAATATCTCTCTTACACATTTTTTGTCATGCTATAAGACAAGATAATAAATATGATCTTAGTTTAACCTCTATATTGAGCAAATACAAATGCCAACATAATAAAAGTGAAATGCCCAGACTTCACATATAATTATTTTTATTTGCCAACAATGTGTTCAAACAAAAATCCTGGAATTTATTTTCCAGTAAATGCCCACTGACAGGTCTTCATGTTAGCAAAATCACTTATGAGATCTTTAAAGTCCAATCCTTTGGCTAATTGGCTTTCAATAGAAAGAAGAGCTAGGCTGTTCAGTCTATCCTGGGACATTGTTGATCTCAAATAATTTTTCACCAGTTTCAGTTTGCTAAAAGCCCGTTCACCCCCAGCAACAGTCACAGGTAGTGTGCAAAATATCCTCAGTCCAATACAAACTTCTCCAAAATGCTCTGTAATTGCATCCTGTATGGCATTAAGCAGCTCAAGAGGAGACCGAATGTGTGGAAATGTGGCACCATATATTGTTCTCAGGTGTAGCATCTCATTCTCAAATTCAGCTGTGAGATCCTTGTAATATTTTCTCATCAGTGCCTGGCATGATATCTTCATCTGCTCTTCAGTCATGTCTGTCATGGTTCATGATGTTAAGCTTTGCTAATACTGATATATATTGATATATTAAATACATATGAACTGAAATAAACCAGGTTATCTCTGTGAATGTAATGTACTCTAAATTTTATAATTCCTGCATTATCAGCCAAATTGTAAGATTGTCCGTTTTCAAGATCAAATATAAAGAAATTTAAAATAGGCTTAAAATATCTAACCAAGTCAATAACAATCCTCTAACACCAGTGTCATCATGCTATACAAAAAACAGTGGCAGCTTCTCATTCCTGAGATTACCAAGAATCCATCGATACCAAGTTTGTCCTGGTCCATGACTGGGAAGGAGCTGAAATATCCACACAGAGTGAACCTGTTTTTACTGCGAGGTCCGCGAATTAATTGGCGGCGGCCGCCCGCGATAATAATTCTGATTAATATATATATATATGTATATATATATATATATATATATATATATATTAATTAGTGTTTTCACTGATAACACTAATTAATTTATATTTGATCTTGATGGTGAAACTAAAGGCGTTTAACACTGAACACCTAACATGAATGCAGCTTCTGAGAGCTAGCTAATATCAGCTAAAACTGTGTTCTGCTGGCTGCTGCTCACCTTCCTTCTTGAAAAACCTAGTCCATACTTGTTTCTGTTCAATTAACTTTTTCTCCTTCTCCTTCTTTTCTTTTCTTTTCTGGAAGCCAGATTTCCCTTTCTTGGGAAAAGACATGACTGACTCTCCTGCCTCCAGCTCTGGCTGTTGGCATCTGCGATGTCTCATAAGCTGTACATGCGGCCGTGCAGCCCCTGGCCGCTGGTGTGGACTAAACCACTTTGCACATTTTTAAGGGGTGATAGATGCCTCAGAGATTATTCAGTTATTATTTTTAAGGCGAAATTCTGTTTCTTAACGTCTTTGTCCAGGTAAAGGGAAGTTTAAGATATTAAGTAAGTTGGGGGGAAAAAACAACAACAATGAAACATTTTTATTCAAAGCTGTCTCAGGGCCCCTCCCTGCAGTGGGCCCTGGGTAAACGGTACAGACTGACTTAAAGGCCCCATGGGTGAAATGAAATCCATTGAAATCAGGATGAAAAATGCAACTCTTTAGCGCCATGCAGTTCAGAGAAGGTATTGCAGCTACGGTGGCTCTCTCATGAGTTTGACTGTATTATCAATTTCCAACCTGTGTAGCCTAACCCACACAAAGCTTAAAACAAGCTACTCTACCACTTAAAAAACACATTTATAATTATGACTGTTTATCAACCTACCAGTTCTGAGGGAAGCAAGCTAGTTCTGCTCTTGAAGCTATCACAATTCACACACGGAGGAGGGGTAACGTCAGCCGGGAGGTCAGGTGTTGTGAGAAATCTTGTTCCCCTGAAATATTCTGTCACCCGTGTCGGGAGGTCGCACTTCTGGCTATTTTTAACAATATTTGTGATAAACCTTTACGGTAAAATGATGTAATGTGATGCAATAATGTTATACTTGGGATTTTTTTTTATCTGTATTTCCTCTTAAAAACAAAAAAAGATACAGTAAAAACATTCTTGTTCACCCTTTTGCAGCAAGCTTATCAGTTTTGAAAGTTATGAAAAAAGATGTAATCTCACTCAGTTTAACCATCTTTTATTTGAGGTAGTTTAGTCCTCATAATGAACAATATGTTCTGTGAATTTGGAAATATTTGCTCTAGACTGCCTAAGGGAAACAGAATATTTCAGGGAACATCATTTCCCACAACACCCGTTTGATGTGGATCATGGTGCCTCGATGTAGACAACCTGGCTGCCGCTACCAGCTTATATGGATATGGAGCGATCACTGGCTACTCGTTAACCACGGCTGGTGAAGGAGTGTTGGTGAGCTGAGGACTCGGCTGTTACCGAGTGTTACTGGAATCAATTAGTGTTAGGGTTGCACGATATTAGGGAAAACCTGCGATATGCGATAACAGTGATTAATATTGCGATGATGATATTACTTGAGATAAATAAAAACGTAACTCAAAAATTGACAAAAAAAATCATAAACATGAGAAAAGCTAAAGATGTGAGGAAAGGGAAAAAGAAAATGAACCAGGAAAGGCAATCAGTGGATCACAGGAAAGGCAGAATCAGCAGAAAGAGCAGAACAAAGCTAACTCAGGTGTTTGCAAACCATCAAAATTAAGTGCCATCTGCCTCGGGGGCGGGCATCTAACCTATGAGAACCCACCTAGTTGGCCAAATGGGTGAAGAGCTCTTTTTGATTTGTTAAAAAGCATCATGCTTCCATTTGATTGACAGAATGTGTAGCAAACATTTGAGCTGACCATTCATTACGATATTTATCTGTTCTTTGTGATATGCATATTGCGCATGCTGAGATTGCGATAACGATGTATTTGCTATATATTGTGCAGCCCTAGTTAATGTTCTTGATCATTCTCAGAATGTCACGCGGCTCTGGAGTTAAATTTACTAACTTAAGCCCTAGATCATATTCGTGCCTGTTCTGTCATTTTTAAGGACTTCTATTCATTCTGTTAAAAACTTGGCAGAGGACCATAAGGACACCAGAGCACAGTAGGCGGTAGTAAACAGTTTTTATTAGCCTGAAGCTAAGGGGAGAGGTTACCGGAGTTCAGTTCAGGTAAAGGGAGGGTCGAGGGCAGGCGTGGGTCGGAACCAGGATGATACGAAGCAGATGAGGTGCAGGCAAGAGACGTGGTCGAAGACAGGCGTGGATCAGAACAGGGTAGGTACGGGACATGGTCGTGGACAGGCATGGGTCGTGGAGGTAGGCAGAGTTCTTAGTGAGGGTCAGGAGTGAAACAAGGTTGGTAGGTGATGATCAGGCAGGATGAAAAGGCTGGAAGATCTACTAGCAATCATCTGAAATTCAATAATCTGGCAAAGTGACGGTGGTAGGCTGTGGAATATATAGCTGGGGAGGCAGGTGTGTGGCATGAGCTTGATGAGGGGACCAGGTGTGATGCATGAAGGCTGATGAGCTGGATGATGGTTGCATAGAGGTCAGGACACGGCAGGATCATGACACATGTGTTTTTACTACATTATGAGAAATAGAAATGCTAATAAAAACACCCAATTATACAAACAAGTGAAACTGGAAAAATTTTTACCTGGTGCAAAGTCCATTTATTTCAGTAATTCAACTAGAATGACAATTTACGCTCAGGAACCATTTGCAGGTGTTTTCTATTTGCAATTATACAATTGAGTTGATTTGGGTCTTGTTTCAAATCACAGAATGATATTTGAATAATTAAAATGCATTTTTTTTAGAAATTCAAAAGCTTTAGTTTACAGTAAAAACCATGTCTAATGTTTAATTCTCTGCCTCATTATTATTAATTAAAAAAATTGCTTTGAGGGCACATTTTCCCAACGATTAAAATGTGATTAATCAAGATTAATTAACTACAAAGCCTCTAATTAATTAGATACATTTTTTTCAATCGAGTCCCACCCCTACTCGAGTCCCACAGCTTTACAGAATTCTTTATCTGAAGCACTTTGCCCGGCACACACTGCCACACCTTTCTGAACTCCTCTCAGTTTCATTTCATATGCATCCACATGATAACAGGAGATAAAACTCTTAAAAGAGGTGAAGAAGCATGTGCAATCAGGTTAGAATGGGTGGAGAGAGGTGTCAGGGGTGAAAAAAGGGTTTGAGCAAGAATGAAAGGAAAGATGTGGAAGACAGTCATGAGACCAGCCATGTTGGACAGACAGGAGGCAGAACTGGAGGCTGCAGAGCTCAAGATGTTGAGTTTCTCTTTGGGTGTGACGAGGACGGATAGGATCAGGAATGAGTCCATCAGAGGGATAACTCATGTTAGACCTTTTAGAGATAAAGTCAGGGAGGACAGACTGAGATGGTTTGGACATGTCCAGAGGAGAGACATGGGAGGCTGAGAAGAAGAAGAAGAAGAAAGTATCATTTCTATAGCGCCTCTCAAGATAAAAATCACAAGGAGCTTAAGTTGGAGCCACCAGGCAGGAGGCTGAGAGGAAGACTAAAAAGGAGATTTGTGGATGAAGTGAAAAGGGACATGAAGTTAGTTGATGTGAGGTTAGAGAACGCAGAAGACTGGACTAAATGGAGACAAATGATTGAAAGTCTTAGAGTAACAGATAAATCCTCTGTGACCCATAGGTTTCTGAGGCTTCGACTTGAAGCTTAGTGGGCGGTTCCGATTATTGCCGTCTTGGCCATGTCGCAAGTTTCGT